ATGGCCTGCTCATTGTTTGATTTAGTCTTCTGTTATCATTTTAGCGGGATGTGCTTTACATTTGCCTTTGGTTTTGGTGGGTGCTTTTCCTATTCTGTCAAGAGAACGTCTTTAAGTATGTTTTGTAAGGCAGGTCTGCAAGGGGTGTATTCTTTTAGATTTTCCTTACTGTGGAAGAATTTTCTTTCATTTTCAGAGACAAAGGAAAGCTTTGCTGGGAACGTTATCCTGGGTCAACAATTTTATTTTTCCTTTAGAATCTGGAATATGTCACTCCATTCTCTCCTTGGGTATAGAGTTTCCTGTGAGAGGTCAGCTGTGAGTTTGAGTGCCATGTCTCTATATGCCAATTTATTATTATTTATTATTATTTTTGATCCAGGATTAAAATTTTAAGGATTTTTTCCTTATGTTCATTTAAAGAGAGTTTGATATGTTTCTTTATGAAGATCATTTTTGGTCAGCCCTGTTGGGAGTTCTGTGCCTCTCCTGATCTCTGTTTACCAATTATTTCTCCAGAATAGAAAATTTTTCCTTTATTATTTCATTAAATACATATTTAAATGCAGCTACTCTTTCTGTACCTCCTGGCATTCCCATAACTCTTTGTATTTGAACTTTTAATAGTGTCTCTTAATTCTTGAATACTTTTTTAGCTTGACCCAGCTGTTTACAGCTTGTTTCCCCTTTGTAACAAGAAATATCTTCCAATTCTGAGATACTTTCTTCTGCCTCCATCATTCTACTATTGAGATTTTCTACTCAATATTTTGCTTTAGTGCATCTTTCATTTGCAATAATTCTGCTTCAGTTTGTTTCAGTGTTGCTACTTGCTGTGTGACATGGTCCTTAAATCCCTTAAACTCCTGTATGTGCTTCTTTTTGTTAATAAGAACCACAAGTTTACCAAACTCTGTATTCCCAATTATCTCGATGTCTTAGTTAACTCTGAGGTTGGCAAAGGCTTTTGCTTTGCAGGGGAGTCTTCAATAATATTCATTGTGCCTTTGTCTCTTCCTGTGCTCTTGGTTATTGCACCTCTGGTTAGCAGATGTTTCTCTTTGGGGCAGGTTTCTAAGCTATGTCACTCACAGGTCTACAGTTCAATTTTAGTTATTGTGGTTGGTACTAGTTCTTCTTTGGCAGTTACTTGTACCAATCCACCCAGTGATTTTCAGATCTGGGCTCTTGTGTTAGACTTCAGTCAAGGTCTTTGTAGCCAAAATGTTCAGTTTTATTAAGATTCCATCTTTGATTTGGAAGTAGGGATGCATAATGCATTTGATCTTCACATTTGGATATGATAGGGCCTAGTATAGAGTTACTTTACATCCCCTTAAATGAAAACCCATGAAAAAAAATCAACAACAGGAGTAAAACTATGAAAATTATAATATGATGGGCCCAGCGTGGTGGCGCAAGTGATTGAGGTCCTCGCCTTGCACGCCCAGGATCCCATATGGGCGCCAGTTCTATCCCGGCAGCCCTGCTTCCCTTCCAGCTCCCTGCCTGTGGCCCGGGAAAGCAGTCGAGGTCAGCCCAAAGCTTTGGGACCCTGCACCCGCGTGGGAGACCCAGAAGAGGCTCCTGGCTTCGGATTGGCATAGCATGGGCCGTTGCGCTCACTTGGGGAGTGAATCATCGGACGAAAGATCTTCCTCTCTGTCTCTCCTCTCTGTATATCTGCCTTTCCAATAAAAAAATAATAATAATAAAAGAAAATTATAATATGGAAATAGCTAACATGTTACTGAAAGACCAATGTATGGCTGAAGAAATGAAAAAGAAAATCAACAACCTTCTTGAAGGAAGCAGTTACTGTATGACATATGAGTCAGCTAAGAAATGAATCAGAGAAATTCTTTTCAAGAAATGAAAATAAAAACAAAAAATATCAAAACCCATAAATGTAGCAAAAACTATGTTGAAAGAACTATTGATCTTATAATTTGCATAAAGATTGCTTATGTTAGAGATAACGTGTGGTTTTTTGGCCTTTAGGGATTGACTTATTTCACTGAATATAATGGTCTTTGATTGGGACCATTGGGTGGCAAATGTTAGCATTTCATTCTTTTTGATGGGCTAAATAGTATTCCATGGAGTAGATGTATCACAGTTTCTGTATCACTCTTTTGGATGCTCAGCTGGGTTGTTTGTGTGTCTTTGCTATTCCAAATTGTGCTGCTGTATGTATATAATTATAGAACCCTTTCTTATATGTAGGTTTCACTCCCTTTGTATGTAGTCTCAGAAATGGAATAGCTGGATTATAAGGCAGATCAGTTTTCAGTTCTCATAACATTCACCATGCTGACTTCCATAGTGGTGCACTAGCCTACACTCCCACCAACAGTGAAGGAAGGTGCCTTTCTCCCCACATCCATGCCAGCAGGAGTTTAGTAGAGTTGTGAACATAAGCTAATCTCACTGAAGTTAAGTGTGGTCTTCCTTCTTATTTCCCTGACAACTAGGGATCCTGAGCATTTTTAATTTTTTTTCCATTTTTTATTAACCTTTTGAATTTTTCTTCTGAAAAAAATGTCTATTCTTTTCAATCACCTATTTATTCGCAGTGTTGTTTATTTTGCTGCTGTTGAGTTTCTGAAGCTCTTTGTAATCTTGGTTCTTAGTCCTTAATTGTATAGTTAGCAAAGATTTTTTCCCTTTCTGTTGGTTGCTTCTTTGCTTCATTGATCATTTCCTTTGCTGTACAAAAAATGTCTTAGTTTGACGTAATACCATTTGTTTATCTTGGCTTTATGCCTGTGCTTTTGATGGCTTTTATAAGAAGTCTTTTCCAATGCCTATATCTTAGAGAGTGCTTCCTACGTTTTCCTCTGGTTATTTGATGGTTTCTGATTTTTGTAGAAGGTGAACCATGGGAGTGTTTCTTCTTTCCTCTGCAGGTTGCTATCCAGTTGTCCTAATAGGATTTGGTGAAGAAACCAGCCTTTTCTCTCTGGATTATTTTCAGTTTTGATGTCAAAGACTAATTGACTATGGGCTCCCTACTGGTGTTTCTATTCTGTCCCAATTATCTTCTTTTCTGTTTCTGTACCAGTACCAAACTGTTTTGACAACTACTGCCCTATAGTATGTCTTGATGTGTGGAGCTGTGGTTCCTCCAGCTTGTTCTTAAATTTTAATATACAGGAGAACAGTTGATTGGAGACAACTTTAAAATATTAATTCTTTAATTTTATGTTAATTTAATAAAACATTTTATTCAAATTATATTCATTAAATGCATTATATTTACCTCTTTGCACTTCACTAAAATTTGTAATGCCAATGGGCAAATAAGAGTAATTGCCTTAATATTTTTTAAAGACTTATTCATTTTTATTGGAAATTCAGATTTACAGAGAGGAGGGAAAGAATGATCTTCCCACCCCAAATGCCACAATAGCCAGAACTAAACCATTCTGAATCCAGGAGTCAGGATTTTCTTTTGATTCTCCCATGCAGGTACAGGGTCCTAAGGCTTTGGGCCATCCTCTACTGTTTTACAGACCACGGGCAGAAGCTGGATGGGAAGTGGGGCAGTCAGGACATGAACCAGTGCCCATATGGGATCCTGGCACATGCAAGGCGAGAACTTTAGCCAGTAGGTTACCACCCTGGGCCCTAATTGTTGTAATATTTAAGAGGAGAATAAAAACACTAATGCTTTAATTATTAATAGCTATTTTTAAAAGTTTCCCCTTTCCCTTTCTTTTCTTTTTTATTATTATTTTCCAATAGGCAATTTTGTAAGTAGAGTGCTACCCAATTTTTTCTTCATTATCACCTGTATATTCTAGCATTGTAGTCCTTTCATCTGCAGTTATGAATCCAACACTCTGGTCTTCGCATGTATCATGACACTGCAATGGTGAAAAATCTAGTATTTTTTTTTTGTCAAGCTATATTTAATAGTGTAATTGGGGGTCTCTTTTGTTAGAGAATAGAAATGAATACTGCAGTTCCTTGAACCCCAGTACTCTAGTCTCCATCACACCAGTCTTTTTATGTGAATATGTGTATATTTGTTTTGTTGCAAATGGTAGAATTTTTTTCTTAAATTTAAAGATAGTACATCATTTTTATAATATGCTAGGTTGTATAGATAATAAAAAAGAAACTCTCTATTATCTATGCCCATGTTCAGGTTACCAAATTTGGGTAAAGTATGTTTTCAAAGCTTTCTTCAACTACTGTCCTGTATACTGTTTATACATTATTTTATATGCTTATTATTCATGTCAAAATCTACTACTCTTACAAAGGTTCATGTTTATGTCAATGGTAATTATTATGAGATCTGATTATTACTTATGCAATTTTTGGCAAAAGTTCAGTTTTTATTTAACTCAAAGTTGAGGTTTTTCAGAAATGTATTCAGAAAATAAAGTTTTGACACAATGGTTTAGCTGAGCACTGTGACTTTTATTTTTCCCTTCATTCACAATGCCTTTATCCTGTAATTGTTCACACAAAGCATTATAAATGCTATTAACTAAAACTTCTATTCTAACAAACAGCACACTAGTATTTCAGCTTTGTTAGCATTTTATATTGGACACATGCAATTTGCATGTTATGAAATAAGACAAAGTTTCATACACTGAAAATAATTGCTTCAAAATTTTCATGTGGTAGAGAACTACATAACATGCTGCCCTTGGACACACAATAACATTAGGAATATTTGAGGATGCAAACATGAAATGTAGACAGAATAAGTATTGCTGAAGTGGAAATAGAAGGATTCAAAATTCCAGACTGTCTATATTCTCAAATTTAACCAGATAATGCTATTTTGGACATTAATGATTAATGTGTGGTATATATATATATATATATATATATATATATATATATATACATATATATTACACACAAACACATACACACATATATATATACATATATATGAAACATCTGTGGAAAAGTTAAACTGTGATTGATAGAATGTTGAAATCCATAAATTCATATGCAATTATTGTGTTTTTAAGATGGCTGATCATACGGAAGTGATGAAAGGCATTCGCCAATATCCAGGAGTTCGCTATCCCGTTCTTACTCCAAACCTTCAGGGTTTTCACCGTGCTGTAAGTGTGCTACTGCTTACATTTCTAAAACTGACATATCTTACTGTTTTAAAGATTTTGACAAAATTAAAATGATGTCATTTGTAACTCAGTTATCACCCTATGCTAATATGTGAGAATACTTTAAAAGTTTGTGGTAGATGAAATGAAGACAAAAGTTTATTCTTATGCAGCAAATTTGAAATTAACATGATTTTTTTTTTTACAGAATGCATTTACTATATCATTTTGATGTCACTTAAAGGGTTTTGCACCAAAGTAAATTTTTCTTAGTATTCTGTTGTCCCATGGATTCTTTGAAAGCTGAAACTGGCATGAACAATGGCAAATCAGAACTGTTGCTTTTTTGGTAATGAACCCAAACTTTCTATATGTCACCCTTTCAGCTTAATCATTGGAGGATCACAAAACAAAAATATGATTCTCCACCTCATGAAAGTTTCTGAAAGTGTACCCTCTGATTCCATCATCTAAAGTAGTATTACAGACTATAACTTAAATAACTCTCAATGCAATATTATGACTATTATTAATATTGCTTAAATAGCTAACTTTTTACCAATCATTTTTCAACAGCTTTTGGTTTTGTTATTTCCTCCAGGGTGAGGATAATCATTTTCATTGTATCTTCTTGTACTGATTTTCCCTCTTTCTCTTTTACTGTATTTCTTCTGATATTAAAATAACAGGTTTAATGATCACATGTTTAATAAGAACCACTTGAACGTTATGTAAATGCTTCAGCTAGTATGCTTACTTGGGTTCAGCTACTGATTGTGTCCATAGATATTTTTCATTTCTGGATTTGAGGCTATATTGTATGACGTTGAGGACATGGGAGCTACTTAGGATATAATTTATGAGTGTATGTTGTTAGAACCATTATCTTTCATTTGATTTGATACCATTCTTATTTTTTTAGTAGAGAAAGAAATAAAGAGATATTTTAACCTGTTGTGTCAGTGGTACCCGGCTGCAAAACTGTAGATTGTCCTGCCTTTTAACAGATATTGACAGGGACATTCAGGGTTGTTTATAAGCTCATGGAATGTAGCTGTCACTTCTGCATTCAAAATGTGGCTCTAGAACTTCCCTAACTCTGTAGTGTTGGTTCTTTAGCTTCTTTGGGTAATTTTTTTTCCCATTCATGCCTCTATGGTATTGTTCAGAGATTACAAAATAAAAGAAGACATAAAGCCATAACAATAGTATTGACAAATATACTTTTACCTGACAATTTCAAAAATTATTTTGGGTGTAATTGTAAAGGCTTATTTTTGCATGAAGTTTGCCTTATATTGGAGAAAACATACATGTATCCTTCCAGGATGGCTTGTTTCACTATGAATAATGGCTGAGTAGTGTTCCATGGAGTAGATGTACCACAGCTTTTTGTCCATTCCTGTTTTGACAAGCATCTGTGTTGTTTCCATGTTTTTTTTTGAAGATAGTGCTGTTATAAATATAAGATTACCAGTCACTTTCACATATGCTGACTTCATTTTCCTTGGATTTATTCCCAGAAGTGCAATCGCCTATTAAGAAATAGGTGAAGAAAATAAACAAGTATTTTTCAAAAGAATAAATTCAAATAGCTAATAGAAAAATTAAAAAAAATGCTCAGGCTCCGTAACTAACAGAAATACAAATAAAACAATATAGCTTAGGAAGTAGTTTATCTTCTACTACCTCTGTCATTTGTATGTACATTTTTCAAAATTATTAGCTTTTGCCTTTAAATTGTATTTTGCAGGTTGCTGCTGGAGCCACTGAGATATCAGTTTTTGGTGCTGCATCTGAGTCCTTTACCAAGAAGAATATTAACTGTTCCATTGAAGAAAGCATTGGAAAGTTTGAGGAGGTTATTAAGTCTGCAAGGCATATGAATATACCAGTACGAGGGTATTTGTTAAATTCTGTATCTTGTTTATATATTTTTTTTTGGCGTTTTTTGGTTGAACTTATTTTTGGTCTATCTTCTACCACCAATAAAATATGTACAAGGAATTTTATTTATATAATATTTAATCAGAACAGTAACTATAACAGTAACTATATAGTTACATATATTAATGTTATCAGTAATTACTTGTTTATGTATAACTTGTCAGTTTCGCTGTGCCATTGAAATCAGAGGCATTAGCTTAAAAATTGACCATCGTTAATCATTTTCTTCACACTCAGTTATCCAAATGCATCTCTATTTGATGTCAACCTACTATGAGTTGTTAAATTAGAATAAATTCTTTAGAGTTTTGGGGAAGGAATCATTTTTATTCTTGAAAGAGCAGCTTATGTAGAACTTCAATAGAAAATATTCAATGCAAAATTTGATCTTTGAATTTATCTGTGAAATGGAGTCCAACTCTGCCCTTCGTTCAATCCCAACTGCCTCCTCAACACTCAAGTGACTGCTATTTTCTGGGAGACCATGAAAGCACACCACGCATCTTGCAGATCACTGTCCAAATATGCTTGTGAATTTGTACATAGAAGAAAAATAAGAAAAATACAAATGACCTTTCATATTGCCCCTATTATCTGAAGTGTATATTTATTTCACTGATGGTTCTTTGTTCTCAATCTTGATTTCATTTTGTTTTATTTTGTTTTGTCTTCTGTTTTTATTTTTCCTAGAAATTTCATTGTCCATGGTCTGAGCTAAGGAACAGAATCAAGTAGATCCAGTCCATAAGTCATTTTTGAAAGAGAAATTGACCCACTATCCACAAATTCAGAAGTATTCCTTAAGATTTATTTATTTTTAATTGAAGGTAGAATTACAGAAGGAGAGTTTCTGTATTCTAGTTCTTTCCCCAAAAGGTTACAACACCTAGATTTGGACAAGACTGGTGTCAGGAGCCAGGAAAGTCATCCTAATCTCATTTATGGGAGACAGGGAACCAAGTACTTGGGCCATGCTCTACTACTTCCCCAAGTGCGTTGGCAGGAAATTGAATGAGAAATGGAGTAACAGGTATTCAGTCCAGCCTGCTTTAATGTAGAATGTGGGTGCTAAAGTCACAGCTTAAGTACTGCGTCATGTCAACCTGACACAGAAAAAAAATTTGTAATTATGTGTATCTATTTTATGGAAGAATTTGATAGCCAAGATAAGTTTTCTATAAATAACAAGATCACACTTTTAGCAAAATATAATATATATATTATATATACAAAATATACATATATATGTATGTATCTCACCATAATCAAAAAAGGAGATGCCGTTCAAACTTCTAAATTCACATATAAATAACTGTTTCTCTTTCCTTCATTGAGAAAGAATAGACTCCATTCTTCTCAGCACTCATTTAAAGTGTGGAGGTTAATCTTCAAAGCAATTACCACTTGAAAGTTCAAGAAAGAGCAAATAATTAAAATAAGTGTTCTGCAACTCATTCTTCAAATATGAAATGTATGTATGATTTTAATATTGAACGATCAATGTAACCATGAGTTGTGTAAAATTAAATTTTGCTAATTTTCTTTCATAAAACAGAACAATGTAATTGAGTTAAACAACTCCAAAGTTATGTTTAATATTATTTCACAATTAATATTATACAGTCAGCAATGAAACTTCTAGCTATTCTGTGACAAAATTTTTCCAAGCTTTGTTTAGAAGGTCAAGTATTGAGGGACTTGGAATGACTCACAGTAAAACTACATCAATAGAGCACAGGGGAGACTTTATAGTGCAGCTACACTACAGACAAATGTGTGTCTTCAGGATGTATTGTGTCTTTGGAGTGCAACTCCTGAATTTTCACAAATATTATCCATTTTTATAGGAAATACATTTTTCAATATCTGAGTTCCCCATTGTCTGTACAGTTAAAATATGGTCTCGCTCACTTATGATTTTTAAGATTTTTTATTTGAAATGCAGAGTAACAGAGAGAGATTGACAGAAAAAAAAATTCTCGTAGGCTTGTTCACTGCTTTAATGCCCACCAATATCCCTCTAATGACAGAACGCAGATGCTGGGAATTCAGTCACTGACTCCCATCGGAGTTGGAGGGACCCTCCACTTAAGGCATCACCCTTATCCCCCAGTATGTGTGTTAGCAGGAAGCTGGAGTCAGGAGTGGATCCAGGAATTACACTTGAGAACTTGAACAAGAAGCCTTTCCGTCTTCTTAACTGTTACAACAAAAGATTGTTCTTCTTTGAAATTTTAACAAAATTTAAATAAGAATGTCATATTACTTGAAATATATATTTCAGATATTCACTGTTCTTACAAGCCATAAGCCATAGAAAAAGACCATGCCCAACTAGTTAAAACTGTAATAGATGCTTCAGCATGTCCCAATGGCTGCATTAACATTACTTGATCATAATCCAAAAGATATATGTTACCGCTGCCAGAGTTAAAGAACATAAAGTAAAACACATCATGTTCACTAACAACTACTTACTTATTTATAAAAAATGATGAACTTTCTTACACTAGTGTTTTAATTATAGTCAAGAAGGCTAGTTTTCACATCACCGTTACTCCATTAAAACACATGTCACATGCAGTACACATTTTTGTACAGGTTCAGAATTTAGCTGAACATCTGGGACACATTGCAGAAAGATAGTATGCCAAATCAATGACAAAAATGCAGTCAGGTAATTATTGCTGCCTATACATCATGCGAATGAATAGTGAAATGTTCACATTTTGGATTTCATTCATGTGGCATATGTTTTTAAAGGTGCAGGTATTTTTTCTGCTATCTGCCCAAAGTCATAAAAGTTAAGAAGGTGAAATAAATAAATAAAAGTTTGCGATTTCATAAAGCAATATCAATGGCATTTATTCAAAGATATATTTATTTGTTAGGATTATTTTAAAACGGAAATGTCTCAAAATCTGAAGTAGTGTTTTACTCTGTAAGATAGTCAAGATTTGTTGCTTTATGTCTATAATGAGTATTGAATTGAAAGCAGCCACATGAGCTACATGCTTACCCTTTAAGGAGCTATTCATTTTAAAAACAGAAAATGAGTACTGAATTGCCACTATTGATTTCACCATTGAAATGTTTATAGATGGGTAATGTAAAATTCCAAGGTCAGAATTCCAGTATATCAAAGGAACTGTGAAAAATTTAATGTAATTACATGTTATAATTCCAAAATCCATGCATGGAATGGCTTGATGCCTGATTAATCTTCTGAACAATCAGGAAGTATATTTTTGATACTTTTTCCTAGGTATCAAGCCTAAAAAAATAAATTTTGCATGGTTTAAAAAGTCCAAGATGGAAACGCACTTATCTGTGAACTGCACCCCTTGAAACGGAGCGAGCTTTCCGAGAGTTTTAATGAATCAGGAATGCACATTTTCTGTATCTCTTTTTCTACTGTTATCCACTCCGCCTACATTTATTCTTATCTAAAAACTAAGGAATATCTTGTCTGTTTTAAAGGCTGCCAAAAGGGATTATGCCACATATATTAATGATAAATAACTTTGACATTCTAAACTATTTCCTGTGATTAATTGATTTTCAATTGTTTGGCTAGCCCTAGCTAACATTCTGTGCTTTAAATTATAATATTGTGAACCACTTTTAAGTTTGCCGTTCCTGAAAATCGGCAATTGTCACTGGTTTTTTTCTTTGGGAGAAGATTTATAACTCAATATACTTATTGAAAATTTTAAACCTGATTGCTAAGTGAGCCAAACCATTTAGATTGTATTGCACCGAGTTTATATTTTCTATTCTTCTGTGCAAAATGTATTCTGATCCTTATCACGAAGGTAATAAAATGTTGTTGAGTGAGGCAATGCATATCATTGTTTAGGGCTCTTAAAATACAATCTCCCTCCCCTCCCTCTCCCCCCCCCCCCACATCGTAACTTTGAGATTGTGTTCCTCAAGACTGGTATATCAAATACCTTCCAGCAAATGATCTGTCCCCATGGAATTCACTTGTGTGTGTACAGCACCATCTCTTTAAATGGAGCATCATTTTACTGCCCCTTGAATTTCCTTTCCAACTTCTGTAGTTAAACTGAAACTGAGCTCTTAGCCTGAATGAACAATTCAAATACTCATTTATCAAAATATTGCAGAAAATCTGTTAAGGCTATTTTCATATGGTTTATTTGGGAGTTATACTTTTATAGTTTGATGCGCTAGTCTAGCACTGCTGCATGCTAGAATATTACAACCCTGCAGTGGTTAATATGCGTAAGTTCTATGTGTGTGGCCTGGGAAAACAGTAGATGACTGAGCAAAGCCTTGGAACTCTGTACCTGTGCAGGAGACCTGGAAGAAGCTCCTGGATCCTGGCTTCTGGCTCGTGGCTTTGGATAGACTCAGCTCTGGCCACTGGGGCCACTCAGAGAGGGAACTAGTGGTTGGAAGATGTTTCTGTCTCTCTTTCTCTCTGTAAATCTGACTTTCTAATAAAAATAAATCTTAAAAAAAGAAATGTTAAGAAATGTTTGAGTAACAGAAGTTTGCTTCGATGAATAAAGGTTTTCATGGGAGTATACAGCAAAACAGGAAAATGAATGACTTTCAAAAATTGATGAACTTGAACACCAAGTTACTCTGTGTAAAATGATATTAGTAATTTTTTTTTCAAAATAGGAAATATGTGATCAGATCTATGCTTTAACAATATAATGTTGACAGTTTAAATTGTAGTGAATTTGTGTGACACTGCATGAGAGACCAGGGTGGCATCTCACAGAGCAGACTGCTCTGTTTAGTGTGCTGGACACTCATGGGCTGCATGACCTGTGGACCACAGGAGAAGGATTAATTAGTTGGTAAAGTCTCAAAGGCTAGCAGGACTCAATCCTAAAAAGCTGCGTGTTTCTCTAAAAGGTGGAAAATGTGAAAGTGTTGAGTAAATAATTTTTCATGTGCAAAAGAAATTTTGGGGTTGATTCTGGACTTTACTGCATAATTTTTTAAGAACAGACTTTGCTGGACTGAGTTGTCTCAGAAACCTTTTTACTTTTTTTACTCTACATAATGGAAACATAAATGTAACAACATTTAAGCCATATAGCCAAACTTTTAAAGAAAAAATAGTCCCCAGGTTTCATCAAAGAATATGTAGTCATGATGCACGTTGATGCCAGAGTGGCATATGTAGTTATCCAACCCAGATGTAATCCCTAATGGGTTAGAAATGGGATTTCAATGTCTCTTTGTAAAAAGATAGATGTTCTGTCTAGACTTGGACTTGGAAATGAGTAATTCTTGGAACCTGGCAGAATCTTACTGCCCATGCAAAGTCAGTGGAATCTGTGCCAGCTATAGTTCTGTGTTTTGGATTTATGATACATAAGTATTGTGGAAACTAAAATTGAGAAATAAAGCTTAGAAACATATCCAGGAACTGGTCATATCTATGAGGAAAGGGGAAAAGGTAATCAGACTCTGTTAACAAACCATTTAAACAACTCGAGGCTCATGGAAATCCTGTATTAAAGATACCACATACTAGTATTCACAATAAAAACTGTTATCCACAAGAGAAATTAAAATAACAGTTTGAAAATAAGATTGTAAACTACCCACTTAAAATGCTTATGGAGCAGGGCCCGGCATGATAGCATAGTGGTTAAAATCCTTGCCTTGAACATGCTGGGATCCCATATGGTCGCTGGTTCTGATCCTGCTGGCCCTGCTTCCCATCCAGCTCCCTGCCTGTGGCCCGGGAAAGCAGTCGAGGATGGCCCAAAGCCTTGGGACCCTGTACCCGCATGGGAGACCTGGAAGAGCTCCTGGCTCCTGGCTTCGGATTTGCTCAGCTCCAGCTGTTGTGGTCTCTTGGGGAGTGAACCCTCAGATGGAAGCTCTTCCTTTCTGTCTCTCCTCCTCTCTGTATTTCTGACTTTGTAATAAAAATAAATAAATCTTTTAAAAATGCTTATGGAGCAAAGGAAGTAAATAATGAACAAACATGTATTTATAAAAACTAAAAAGCAAATGAGCATTTGATCAAAATAAACATATTTTTATAAAATTTAAATGCGTTTATCAAAAATTGAATCCCTTGAACAGCAGATTAAATTAAGTTGAAAGGAAGAATGGTGATCTGAAATTAGGCATTGAGAAAAGTGTAAAAATGAAGTTCAGAAATAGAAATTAACAGAAGTTTTACATCTGAGGTTAACACAACTAGCTTGACTTTCTAGGAGAAAATAGACTTGAGAAATGTTGGAAGACCTAGTACCAAGAAATTATAAAAAATGGTGCACACAAATGTAGTCATTAGAAGTGGAAAAACAATTATGTATCTGTAAAGGAGATGTAGTTACACTGACAGCAATAAATTCAGCAGTAAAGAATTGAGAATAGAGATAGTTTCTGATACAAATGCCAACAAAGAATTTTGCATATAGTCAAACCATTGTTAAAGAATGGAGGGGATATATATATATATATTCATGAGGTAGCATTGTGGCCACGAGGGGCCAACCACAATGCTATTGTCTTACATGAGCACCATTGGAGTCCTGGCTGCTCCACTTCCAATCCAGCTGCCTGCTAACACACCTAGGAAGGCAGTGAAAGGTGACGCAAATCCTTAGACCCCAGAGTCCGTGTGGGAGACCTAGATTGAGTTCCTTTTGTTTGGCATTAGCCTCATTCAATTGGGATGTTGCTGCTACTTTAGGAGTGAACAGGTGTTTGGAAATCTCTCTCTCTCTCTTGCTTTTTCCTTCTGTAACATTGCCTTTCAAATACACAAATAAATCAAATAAAATCTCTTCTTTTGAAAGCACATCTTGACAGTGTGGTCTGCAAATGGCCACCATTTAGAAATTCTTGCAGAAAGAATTAGTTAAAGGTGTATTTGAGTCAAGAGAGCACTGAATTAGAAGTAAGGAATGTGATATAACAGAAATTTAGGTTAGAATTCTGAAGTTCAGAAGAATGAAAAATTGTATGAAATATATCTGGGAGAGATTTAGCAACTCACTAATCAAGGACGAATAAGACTATTGTGCATATACAATCCTGGGATTGTCACTTTTTTCAAAAGAGAGTCAGTCAATACAGTTGAGGTTGTATGGTTGCAGTTACATAATTTTTACTCATGGTGAAATAAAGAGATAGAAAATGTCTTATAGGCACTTATGATTGCTACCCTTCCCTGGGTGACTTATTTAATTGGTTTGGAGTGTGTTTTAAGCATTGGAGTTTTGCTTTGTTCTTTTAAAGCTCCCCAGGTGACTCTGTGCAGACAGGATTCAAAATCGCTGTCATCAGTTGCTAAAGAGAAGTCCAGAGCTGACTGAACCCAGTCATCGGAGAGTTTTTTTTAATCATCATAGAGACATTTGGCCCTTAGAAAAACTAACCTAACTTTTAACAAGAATTGGCAAATATTTTCTTGAAAGTATAGAAGTAACATCATAAGGTTTGTAAGTCAGATGATGTCTGCTGAAATTGCAATACTCAATTGTGTCGTCAAGGTGCAAAAAGCCTAGGATAAAATGTAAACAGTTGTGCTGAACTCCAATAAAATTTTATCGTCAAAAAGAGCAATGGACAGAAATTGTCATATGAGCCTGAGTGTGCCATTCATTATATCACAGTGTTAAAGTGTAGTTAAAAGAATGAAGTTGAACATTAGCTGTAGAGAAAGTACTACTAATTGGCCAAACGATTGGTTACTCACAAGACTGGAGAAGTACATGCAAAAACAAAAGGTGATGGATTATGAAGACCTGTGAAATCACAGGCCTTTAAAGGTCACGAAAATGAGTGAAGAGATTTTTTTATCTGTTGATTCGCCTCTACAGTGTTTGCAGTAGCCGTGGGTGGGATAGGCCAAACACAATGCATTTCTCTGGATCTCCAATGTGGGTGGCCTGAGTCCAGGCACTCGAGTCATCATCTACAGGCTTCCTGGGCTGCATATTAGTAGGAGCCTTGATCAGAAGGCGAGCTCGGACTGGAACCAACACTCCTAAACATGTTGCAACCTCCCAAATTGAAGCTTAACTGCTGCACCAAATACCTGTGCTCGAGGCAGATACGGTTTTGACAACACAGCAATAACCAGGCACAAATAGAGATTTGTTTTGTTTGGCATTAGTTGTTCTTTGTTTTGTTTTTCACAGTTAGAGGGAGGAGCTGTAAATTAATGGTTTGAATTTTGTCTTAGTGCACATCTAGATGTTTTGGATTCAGGATAAGTGTACTCATATTTTCATTCTGTTATCCAAATCTCTATATCTGTATTGAAACCATGTCCTTTTTCACACCACTGGCCTCCTTCTCCTGTGTTGTGTTCAGAATAAAACAATTTCTTTTCACACATGTTGGTTAAATTTAGAGATTAAGCAATACACTTAGGTTACAGCAATTGAAAAAGTAAAGAAATATGTTTCTGGTCCATTGTAACTTTCAAATTTTATTTGAATTTGCCCCTCTCTCATTCTTTTTCATAACTACTTGCCTGGCATATGGAACTGCTTATTCATTTTGGTCTCCTTGTAAAAATTGCATTACATTTTAATATTTCTAAGATGGCTACATCTTAGAATCAGCGATATGTTGTGAGTCATGGAATATGTATTTTATTTTTCTTCTACAAAGCCTGTTGAGAAAGCCATGGTGTATCCTCCAATCATTAGCATGTTAGAATCAACGAGATGTAGCATTTTTTTCTTGTGTTTTTGCCTTCACTTTTTCCCTGACAGTCACTTTAGTACTCCAAAAGGGTTATATAACATGGAAAATGCATCTGATCTTGATACTCTGCTATCTAATAATTTTGAGAGCCCCAAAGTAACCATGAGTGATCTCAGAGTTCAAACCTCTTGGTGGGGCTCTAAAAACCTTTTATACTTTGGCTTAAAGGGTGGGATATCCAACATTTTTACCCACCACCCCTCTCTGTCTCATGGGATTCTTCATTCTTGATCATCAAACATGGTAACCTTGTTCTAATCCTAGTGTTGCAAGTACCTCTGAGAAACTTTATATTAAAACACGATTGCTGATAAGCTGAAAATAACCGAAATAAGGTTTTTCTAAAAGATAATAAATGAAAATAGAGATAGATTGTTGTCTTTGTAAGAAAGATTGAACTTTTTAATATTAGAATGACTTGCTGATGAAACTTATAGAATAACTGCATTTGGGGCCTTTTAAATACTGTTGTGTTTAGAGTGATTTGCACTTGCTTATAACAGGTAAACAAGTTGAACGATGAGGCTGTGTCCAGTTTTAGAAGCTTTTGGTGATTAATGGTTGCACCTAAATGAGGCCAAAACATCCAGACAGCAGTAAAAAGAGAAATTCTGTTTATTTTTCCATACTGTCTCTTTATAATTTCAACTCCATGGATGTACAATTGAGTAAATAAGTAAGTGTAACTTTGTGAGTAAAACTAGGTATTTCACTGACACTTTCTGCTTTGAAAATTAACATGTTGCTGTATAAATGCTGTATATTTACTGTATAAATACTTGCTGTAAAATCTCCATCTGACATCAAGCAACCTGTATTAAAGACATTAAAAATATATAATAATTGAATATATCCTATTTTTAAGTATAGGTGGAAAATACTGATCATGAAATCATACAAAATAAATTTTCTTGATGATTTCAATTTAATAAAAAGTAAAATTAAGGTAATGTCTTACATACATATTTATATAGCCTTGTATTTTAATTCAGGTATGTGTCTTGTGCCCTGGGCTGTCCATATGAAGGAAACATCACCCCTCAAAAAGTGACAGATGTAAGTTGCATTTCCAGCCTCCTTGGTTCATGGTAAAGTAATGTGTATTGTTTTCATAATCCAGCTGCATCCTTCCCTATATACTACATCTGTATAGCAAAGAGAAATCAATATAGAGGGTGAGTATGCAAACATTTTGTAAAGACATCTTTGATCACTTTGCCGCTTCTTTTGAACATCGAAGAATTGTACATTTGCTGTAGCAGTATAAATAGCATTTGCACTCTCCCATGGAATGTCAATGCAGTTTGCATACTTGCATTTAAGCCTTTTGCATCTTTTGGACTATTAGATACATCTCTTTCCTTTCTTCTTCATACTTTCATATTTATGTTAAAATATACAACGTCAGTGACTTTGCTCTTTTGTGTTTCTCTAGATCTTACTGCCATGATAATTTTGCTCTCATTCCCAAGCGATTTCACAACACTAGGTCATAGTAATTAATAATGGCTTGTTGACATTCATTTCCTAATTGTTAGTCTTTTATTATTAATTTTTGTCAAAGAATACAAAATTACTTGTCTCTGAGACTACAATATGCTATCTCAAAAACTCATCTGTATGTGAATTAAGTCAATGTAACCCCAGTCATTCAAGTTGCTAATTTTGATCAATTTAATTATAATAATATGTTGCAGAAGAATTGAAGATGGCATTGACAACAGAATAAGTTTTGAGTTCAGCTAAAACTATTCTGCATTGCTTGGATCTTTTGAAATTCAGCAGTCATCTATCATTTTAAAGTTGTCCTACCATTTATTTTTCAATTAAAACCTTTCCACACAGAGGCAGATATTATATTAAATAATGAAACTCAAATTATTGCATAGAATGAACCTCCAAGATTTGAAATTTCAGGTCCAATAAAGACTGTGTTGGGTTGGCATCTCCTTACGCCCAGTCTCCTTGCATTTCTGCTTTTTGCCCTGCATGCTCCTCTGCCCCCAGTGTATTAAGCACACATGGAACTGGGATCTGTTCCTGCAGCTTAGTTGCTGCTGTGGAGAGTCATATTACCAGGCAGAATACACGTATTGGAAATTCATGATCAGTAACTACAACAGGGCCTTTTGTGCTATGCTAGTACATTTTGTTATTAACCCACACTCTTTCATCTGATATATATTTAAGATTTGGAAAGTCAGATACACAGAGATGTGGAGAAAGACAGAGAGGACGATCTTACATTTGATAATTCACTCTCCAAATGGCTGCAATGACTGGAGTTGAGCTGATCTGAAGCCAGGAGCCAGGAATCTCTTCTGGGGTCTCCCATGTGGGTGCAGGCTCCCAAGGCGTTGGGCCATCCTCAACTGCTTTCCCAGGCCACAAGGAGAGAGCTGGACAGAAACAAGCGCTCATGTGGGATCCTGGAGCAAGCAAGGTGAGGACTTTAGCCGCTAGGCTACCACCTGGGGCTCTGACTAAAGATAGTACTCTTTTCGAACCTCTAATGCTTTCTAGTTTTCTCTACCCCTGCAGTTTACTTTTTCACCACATGATCCTTTGTATTTGACTTTTTCCCTGCCTGGAACATTCTTTGAACTTTATATTTGAGCTATCTCGGACCCACTAACCTTTAATTCTGATATTCTTCTTGGAACATCCTTCTCAGTCCATTTCTTGTCGCACTCTTCAATAAGTTCGCATGTATTCTATCTTAATTTGTCACTCAAAAAACCCTCAATTTCCCTCACATGTACTCTTAGAATATTACTTCTTTCTTTCAGCTTCTAAATTTACATAGAGTTTATGCATTTCTCAGTGTAATGAACAGATCTGTCCTCATTTGATTTCTTCACTGTCCATTATACCACTAGCCATGATAATGCTTGTTTCTCCATTTCATCCTATACCGTGGCACCACACTTGCTGTAAAACAGTAGGTAAATAGTACATGCTAAATGAATTAATTACTATCATGTACCAAACTGAATGGGAAGTGACTTTTACAAAGTCTCACTGCATTTTCAAGATCAAGTATAACATTTATGACATCTTTTTAATTCTGATTTTAAGGATTAATTTGCTTAATGCTTAAAAGATATACTAAATGAAGATATACCACTGTCTGTATTTTTACAGATAAGAATCTAAAGTTTAAACAGGTTATTCCCTGTTCACTATCATATTCCGCCAGGCCCTCCAATGAATTTTTAATTTGCTCTATTTTGTCCTTCATTTCCAATAATCCTGCTTGATTTTATTACAGTGTTGCTATGTCTTATGTGGCATATTCCTTAAATTCTGATATATGCTTCTTGTTGTTGATAAGGAGCTTTATAACAAATTTTTAAGTTCTTTATTCCCCCATTTGCTTGATATATTCCTCAGTTAACTCTGAGGTTGGCAAAGGCTTTTGCTTTTTTTACAGGGGATTCTTCAATAATATTCATGGTGCCTTTATACTTTGTTTTTGGTCATTTCATTTCTGGTTGTCAGATTTTTCTCCTTAGGGCAGGTTTCTAAGCTGTGTCACAGGTTTAAAATTCAGTTTTACTTACTGTGGTTGATACTCAGTTTTTCATTTGCTGTCACTTGGGCCATTCCATCCAGGAAGTTTCATGTCTAGAGTCTTGTGCTAGGCTTCCACCAGGGTTTCTGTAGGCCCAGCTTCTGGCTAACCACTCTCCACCTCCTATGATTCTATGCTGTGGCTGCCCCCTTGCCTCTACAGCCTTTCTCCTGCTTCTTGTTTGAGCAGTTCCCAGGTTTATCGAGGCATCAAGTGCCCTGAATAATTGGTTGTTGGTGGTGCCAATCTTGTCACAATCTGCTGGCTGTTAGGTCTGAGGGCTACCTGTATCTCTATTGGGTGGGATCCATATCATGCCAAAGTTAGGTATCATTACCTTGTGTGAGTAGTGCAATGCAGTGAGCTGGTGCTCACTGTTGTCCTTCCAGTCTCACAGCCTTCGCCACACTATACAAATTGCTGCCTGATGTGGCACTGACAGAGTTCTGGGACCGCTGACCATTAGGTCTTGTGTCTACCCAGATCTATTTTGGGTGGAACCTGTAAGATGACACATTGGTAGCTTTCCCTGTGGGACCATTGCAATGCACTGAACTGGAAATGAATTTGCTCCCAGCTCAGCACATGCAAAGTTTGCTATTGTCCTTGCAGTTCCACAGCCTTTTCCTCTTTACAAAAATGTGCACCCGATGTGGCACTGGTAGGTATCTGGGATGTGAAATCCACCTTGTTCTTGCACTGCCTGTTTCGGGTCTGCTGTTCTGTCTGTCTGCTCCTGCTTGGATCATAAAAATAAGCAAAATGGACAGTTATTTGCCAGGGGCCACTTCTTAAGCTCCCAATGATCTCTCCTTCCCATCTGCCTGTGGGGGAGTTGTGGGCACTGGTGGAGCTCAGGTTGCCACTCACTTACTGCTGCTGGAGTACCTGGTCACTGCAATTACCTGTGGTCTCTGTGGTCTCTGTTGCTTTCCTGAGTCCGTGTGTCTCCAGGTACCCCTTTTCTGTGAGCTTGTCCTCTCCTATATCCTGGAATCTGTGCTCCATACTTCACCCTGGTTAAGGATTCTCTGTCTGTTTAAAAATGTCCTTGCACTATTGCACCACATTGATTCTTCACCCAAAGTTTTTAAAACGATTTTCACTTAATGAGTAAAGAAAAGAACAGAAAGCTGAAGCATATGTTTTCTAGGCACACAATTGATCTTACTTGTGATATTTGGCCTCTGTGTATGTTTTGAGCATAGACAGTTTGTATATTCACATGCGTTGTTTTAATAGCACATCACCTTTCTTGACAGGTGGCCAAGAGATTGTACAGCCTGGGCTGCTATGAGATCTCTCTGGGTGACACAATTGGAGTAGGAACACCGGGAAGCATGAAAAAAATGCTAGAATGTGTCATGAAAGAAATCCCCGCAGGTGCTCTTGCCGTTCACTGTCATGACACCTATGGACAAGCCTTAGCAAACATCCTCACTGCCCTTCAGGTATGATATATTCATTGTGTGTTGTGTATTAGGATATAAATTCTTACTAGTGATATAAACATGTTGAGAACTTTAGATGTTAAGACAATGTTTTATAAACAGTGCTTACCGCATGACAGGCATTCAAGAAGTATTGATAAATTCTGAGTGATTTTTTTTAGAGGGAGACAGAGAATAGATGCTTCTGAGAAACATCTGATTTAAAAAGTTTGTGATTCTATTCCTTTTAGAGTATTAAATCTGGTAGGGGATTCTCTGACTCTTTCAACTCCCATATACTCTGAAATATGATGTCATTTTTTTCAGGAGTACAAATAAGGTAGTACAGTTTTTCTGTTGTAATATTATAATGCTAATTTTGCTAACTTGGTGCTCTCATATGGGACAATATGTGGGAGTGTGTGTGTGTGCATGCGTTTGTGTGTGTGTGTGTGTGTGAGGCATGCTTCAAATACAACATTTAGGAAATAGACCTTCTGAAAAAGACGAATTGTGTGCTTGGTATGGAAACAAAGCCCATGTATTTGGAGAAGAAATTAAGGTCTACAAAATATGTTAAACTTTTTAATTGCATTGTCTGTGTTTGCAGAGTGGCAGGACTGGAATCTTGGACATTTGGCTATTATGTGACAGGTACACAGAAATACGGGAAACAATCATGAACCCAAACAAGATGAGTGGAGTCACTGAAAACGTGTGTAAGCTCAGGACTCCCTGGAAGACAGCATTTGGAGAAAAAGGGAAAATTAATAAAATTAAAAAAAATCTGCCCCACAGAGAGTTGTGGGTTAGTAGGATCTTCGGGTACTAAGGAAAACATGTATTTTCTGAAGCAACATATCTTCAACCTAAGTCAAACTCTGTGTGTGTGTAGATATGCACATATGTGCTTAAAGGGGAGTGATAAATTTATGAGGTGGTTAGTAGAGTGTAGTTAGTAGAGGTAGTTAGTAGAGGTAGTTAGTAGAGGTAGTTAGTAGAGGTAGTTAGTAGAGTGTAGCTCATGAAGTAGTAGAGTGTCTGCCTAAGAAGCTGGAATTTTGGTTTCTATTTTAGTACCCTGTGTACCAAGTGTGTGTGATTGTGAGAAGCAAGGGCACATATGTGAGGCAAGGTGTCTAGCTAATCAGTGGCATACATCCAGATTTGTGTTCTGTTGCTCCAGAGTAGAATTTAAAGTATCAATAGAAATACTTGGATAAAATGAGAGAACTGGTTTGTATGATAAACAACATTGTATGTGGCCAGAAGGTAAATGAATGATAGAAGAAATGCTTTTAAAAAATGCAGAGATGTCTCAAATATGCTACAAGTTGAAGAGTTCAGGTAAATACTGCATTTTTCACCACTCACTTTTACGTAGTTTCATAATCTAGAAAAGATATAGACATTACTTTCCTGAAGTTGAACATCAAATGTTCTTTACATGTTTTGGAGATTTTATCTTGGTATGATGCAGCAATGTCATTCCAAGTACATGGCATACACTCTGAGCAGTGTTAAGGTGGAGTTTAACAGAACCCGCTCTCATTCTTTCCCTTGCCACTCTTGATAACAGCAACAATAACAACAACAAAACAAACTTTTTAGTTGAGAAGATGAGAGAAAAATGTCCTGGAAAGAAGCATCAGTATTTGAATCAAAGGGGAATTAGAGAAAGTCTAGCTTCATTATGAACAGAGTTGACCTTGGCTTCAGGAAGCAGTGGACATAGTTCTTCTGTTAAAAAGAGAATCTTTGAAGTGGCTTTGAAAAAAAAAATGGTGGTGTATGTAGAGTGGATATCATTTGCCTTAATTTAGGGGTGGAGAAGAAGTTTACAGTGTTCCAAACTGGAAGTTAATATTAAGGCAGGGAGACATGTAATAAGTGGAAACTTGGCCACAATGTTAGGAAACAAATGAGAGTTATAAATGGAATGCCCCTTGAGTCTGGAAAGCACATACTGATCGTGTAGTAAAGGGATCTTTTTTGGGATCCTAGGTTTATTGCATTTTTTATGACTTAAACATATGACTTATGGACCTGGAGATGGCTGTATGGAAATCAAGAATTCATAATTATCAGATATTATTTAATATTGTGAAACTATTATGAGACTATAGATTTAAGTTGGGATAGTCATAACCACTTAAATCCAAAGAGCAAGAAAATGAGGTGAGAATGCATACAGCATTTTAGTAATGGAAGAACTGTTCCTGGTAAAATATATCTGCATTAATTTCAGCATAAAAATTGAACTGCATCATTGTGCACATTTCCATATTCCTAAGTAAAAAAAAAATTAACAAATTATTGAATTTTCTTAATACAGAACCCAAGCAGTTGTTCAGGTTCCGATGTTCCCTACTGCAATGACTTGAGTCTTCATAACTGGGTAAAAATGGAATAAAGCAAATGAGACCTAATACCACAAATAACAGTCACAAGCTAATTAGTAGCAGAGACAAAGCAGGGCAGGCAACATTTAGATTTTTCCTAAAGAAGGATGGTGTGTACTTTTTCTCTTAAAAGTTGGTTTATTATTCTCTTTTCTAAAACAACAAATTATTTACCTAATTTTTACATTAAAAACATTCATTTCTTTGCAAATCTCACTAAACCGTGTTTTAACTCGGCAAAACAAAATCTTCCTTCACATAATGTGTGTTTGACCTGATCAAGAGAAGTCGGTGGAGAAGCATCTCTGTTTCCAATTCCGTGTTTGGTAGAAAGACATAAAGTTGTCTCCTTCCCTGGACGGGGGAATACTGCACTGAGAAGCGGAGTTTATAACTGATGCCTTGATAGCAGTGCGTTTGTGAATATGTTTGTTGTGGTCATCATAACTGTTAACATTATTACTATTATTTCTAAACTATCAGTAATGACTTTTATTACAGAATTTAGCCATGAGTAGAGCTAACATTTCATAAATACATGCATTGGTGCTCATCTATTAGAAAGCTTATTGAAATAGCTCAATAGAAATAAATATGTAAAAAAGAAATTAAATGTTGAAAGTTACATGCCTCTGCAGAGGTTTTACAGGGTCTTACATTAGCTTATCACCAGACATTTATTTTATTAGCTACTGTTATACATGCAGTTTTTATTTTATTACAAATGCAGTTATAAAATGCAGATTAGTACATTAAAAATTGTTGGAAATATTGCTGTGAACAAAATTGTTTCCATTTGTCAGTGTTTTCAGTACCTGTCTTATTATGAAGTAATTTTTCTTGATGCATAATTAGAAGTTTTTGGTATGGTATTCTGTTAGAAATCATTCTAAGAGGAAGGTGAGTTGATATACATGTTATGACCCCAAATGAAGAGGGCGGTATTACATCCTTTCTGGACTGGATGTCACAATGTCTACTTTCCTGAATTGTGTGGAAATTGAGATAAGAAAATGAATTTATGTGGTGATATGATACAATTGATTGCACATAGTTCAACTTTCAAATATTAAACAAAGCTCCTGAGCCACAGATGTCTGTGAAAAAAAAAAAATGGTTAACAAAGGACCTTAACATTTTTTCCAGGTGGTTGCATAGTTTATATCAGTGATGAAGAATGTGTAAACGTTTGAATGATTTTGTTAATTTTATGCTGTTGTCAACATTTTTTAAAGAAAACACTTATTCATTGTTTTGTTTAAAATGCAGAACAACCAAGGAGAGAAAGAAGGTGGAGAAGAAGGAGAAATAGAGTGATAGATAGAAAAAGGTTAATTTCAATTTAGCAGTTATATAGGTCACTCTCCAAATGGTTACAATAGTCAGTGTAGGCCAGACCAAATCCAGGAGCCAGGGACTGGAGCCTCATATCTGATCTGAGTGCCGGAGGTCCAAGTACATTTCTGATCTCCCGCTGCCTTTCCAGATGCATTGACAGGAAGTTGGACCAAAAATAAAGGAGCCCGGAGTTAGACTGGCCCTCTGATATGGAATTCTGTCATTGCAAACAGTGACTTGATCCACTGTGTCACATACCAAGTCCTCCAGCATCTTTTAGCAAAATATTGAGTCACCACAGTGGCATAGTGAGCTAAGCCTCTACTGGTAGCACCAGCATTCCAATTGGTGCCAATTTGTGTCACAGCTACTTCACTTCTTATCCAGCTCCCTATGGACAGCCTGAGAAATCTACAGAGAATGGCAGAAATCCTTGGGGCCCTGTATCAACATGGGAGACTCAGAAGAAACTCTTGGATACTGAATCCTGGCTTCAGATTAGATTATCTTAGTTTCAGCTCTTAGCACCTTTTGGGGACTGACATGGCTAATAGAAGATCTGTCTCTTTGCTCCTCTTCTCTTAAAAAAAAAAGTCCTAAATTGGCAAAATTTTACAGTCATCAGGGTATCAGGTGGTCAGTTTTATCTTCAGAGACATTATAACTGTCGTCTGTTTTTGTATAGCTACATGTATCAATGAGTAAGTAAAAATGCTGCTCTGAGCTAGGTGGCATTTAAACCAGTTCCAACTAACTAACACTTAAAAGTAAAGTGTATGTAGTTCCCATGTGGTACAGCAGTGAAGAGGATGCCTGGAATGGGCCGAGGAATTCTAAACTCTGCTACAGGCTCTAGCTCCCTCTTCATGTGGACACTTGCAGAAGCCATGATGGTTCAGACAGTGGATTCTGTCCATCTGGAAGATCAGGTTTGGGTTCCTGGCTCCCAGCTTGGCCTGTTGGAGCCTTTGAGGGTGTGTGAAATTGAACCAATAGATGCAGCTCCATCTCTGCTTAGACTTCACTTTCTTCCTCTCCCTCCATCTCTTTTTCTCAAGTGGATAATAAAGCATTTTGTTAACTTTTACTTTAATGAATGTAGTTCATCCTTGTATGGCAGACTATAGGTAGATCCTAAATTCGAAGCTCACTTGAATTTATTCATGCAGATCAGATGGACCACAAATACAATAATTGAGTAATTATGTATTCTCAGTGCTTTTTTAAGATTTGGAAATCGCTGGATCCATCAGCACATTTAGTATTTTTATTTTTAATAAT